TCTGCTCACATAGTGCTTCGTGTACTTCTGCTTGTTGACGTTGTCCCATAGTTATTTTTAATACCTGCGGTGTGATACAAGAGTGTGCTAGACTTGGCTGTAGAACGTCCGCTTCAGAATCTTGTTCTGCAATTTTATCAGCTCTGCAACCTGGGATAAATCACTTAGCCTCTCTGAATCTCTTTCTGTATCTGTAAAATGAGGGGAGTGGACTATGCAATGCCTAAGGTTCCTCTTTTCCTGCCCATGAGACAAGGGTCACAATCAGATAGGCTGCAGACAGGTTTTTTAGTCTGCTCAACAATTTTAAAGCATTAAGTTTGGGATCCTTGCCATTTACTTACCAATTCCAATTTAGGAATTTACCAATTAGGAAATAATCACACAAGTGTACAAAGATGTGTATACAAAGATGTACAAGGATGCCCATTTTTTTTAAAACATTCCTTTCAATAGTGAGGGCCAAAAGCAACTTTCGATATTGTGATTTATAATAATAGATATACATATTTTTTGTTTGTTTTAAAAAGATGACCGGTAAGGGGATCTTAACCCTTGACTTGGTGTTGTCAGCACCACGCTCAGCCAGTGAGCGAACCGGCCATCCCTATATGGGATCCGAACCTGTAGCCTTGGTGTTATCAGCACCGCACTCTCCCGAGTGAGCCACGGGCCGGCCCAAGATATACATATTTTTATTTTGGTGTTCATTCCCAGTTCCTGGCACTGAGCTCCTAAAACTCTTGTGACTTCCTGAGCAGTAGGGGTGCTAAGAGGATCTTTTGTTCTAATATTTGGTCTTGGACCCTGGTTGCTGACACAGAGCTCCCAATCCCTTGGAATCTCCAAGGAGATAGGAGCATCTTTTCTAATGATGCAACTCTTTTTTTTTTTAAAGATGACCGGTAAGGGGATCTCAACCCTTGGCTTGGTGTTGTCAGCACCACGCTCAGCCAGTGATCCAACCAGCCATCCCTACATAGGATCCGAACCTGTAGCCTTGGTGTTATCAGCACCGCACTCTCCTGACTGAGCCACGGGCCGGCCCTCTAATGATGCAACTCTTAATAGGCTCCTGGATGTGGATGGTCACCAGAAAGACCAAGCCATGATTAGAAGCTTATAAGTTTCAGCCCCACCTGTGTCCTACAGGAAGGGTGAGGGGCTAGAGATTGAGTTAATAGTTGATCACACCTACATGATGAAGCCTCCATAAAAATCCTTGAACTACTATTGGGTTCAAGAGCTTCCAGGTTGCTGAACACATTGAGGTGCCTGCTGCATGACATGCCCAAAGAGGGCATGGAAGCTCTGTGTGCACCCTTTCCTGTACCTTGCCCTATGCATCTCTTCCATCTGGCTATCCATCTGTGTCCTTTGTAGTATCCTTTGTAATAAATGGGTGAACATAAGTAAATTGCTTCCCTGAGTTCTGTGAGCTGCTCTAGCAAATTAATCGAACCCAAGGAGGGGGTCATGGGGACTCTTGGGTTTTGGCCAGTTGGTTAGGGGTCTGGGTCACAACCTGGGACTTGCGACCAGCATCTGAAGTGGAAGCAGTCTTGTGGGACTGAACCCTTAACGTGTGGGAGCTGACGTTGTCTCCAGGTAGAGAGTGAGAATTTAATTGAATTATAGGACACCCATTGGTGTCTGCTGGAGAGTTTCTTGGTGGGTGGGGGGAAACCCCACACATATGGTGTCAGAAGTGCTGTGTTAAGTGTGTGAGTGTCAGAGTAGGAAAAACAGTTTGGTTTAGGAGAAACAGTTTGGTTTTTCCTATCTCTTACACAGCTTCAATGTGCAAAATAAAAAATTGGTTAAACAGATTTTTGGCCTGGTTTCAGTGAGCTCCCATTATGTGCCAAGCTGTGTTCTGGATACATCAGTGAACTAAATGAAGATTCCTGCCTTCATGAGGCTTAGACTTTAGAAGGAGAAGACAGATGATAACCAATCGGCAGGAAAAGGAAAGTGTGTGGAATGTTAGAAGACGGTAAGCACCATGGAACAGAGAAAGTGAGGAGATTATGGAGGACCCTGAGTTTGTGAGCACAGTTTAAATATGGTGCCGATGTAGGCCTCATGGAGAGGACTGAAGTTGGTGAGGGAGTCAGTATGCAGACAGCAGGGACAAGCACACTCCAAGCAAGAGGAACAGCCAGTGCAAAGGCCCTGAGGCAGGAGCATGCCAGTATGTTCAACAAACAGCAAGGGTGCCGGGAGCTGGAGCAAGCTGCATGTGAGGTGTAGGAGAGGAAGGAAGGCGAAGGGGAACCCAGGGCCAAATTACAAAGAATCTTGGTGGCTTTTGTGAGGATTGTGGATTTTATTCCAAGTGAAACGGGTAAGTCTTTGCAGAGTTTGGGTAGAAGAGTGATGTGATCCTTTTTTACATTTTAGATGGAACAGTCTGATTAAGAATAGGCTGTGGGGGGACAGGGAGAAACAGGGAGACCATTTAGGAGGTTATTGCAGCAACCCGGGCAAGAGAGGTGGTGATGACCGAGAGGAGAGTGTGATGAAAGTGGTGGAAAACGGTCGAGGCCTGGCTGATGCTGAAGAGAGGACCACCAGGACTTGCTGGCACATTAGATGTGGGGTGCAAGAGCCGAGAGGCGCCGAAGATAACGCTCCTGATTTTTGGACCAGCCAGCCGCAAAAAAAAAAGGAAAAAGATTTTTGTCCTGGGTAATTGGGACGATAGAGCCACCATCAACTGAAATTGCAGAGGTGCGGGTGGAACCAGGTTTGTGGGAGGAGATCAGGAGTTTGTTTTTGGAAATGTTAAGGTTGAGAAGTCTAGTAGTGTTTTAGTCCATTATCGTTGCTTATAACAGGATACTTGGAACTGGGTAATTTGTAAGAAAATGAAATTTGCTTACAGTTTATGAAGCTGGGAAGACCACAATCCAGGGAGCACATCAGGTGAGGTGAACCTTTGGCAATGCAGAGTGTCACATGGCAGAGTGGCAGAGCGGAGAGAGAGAGAGCTCCTCACGTACTCCCCTTTTAAAGCCCTCAGAACCACACCCAGGACCACTATTTTTAATCCATTCACTAGGCATGGTCCTCAGAATCTAATCACCTCTTCAAGGCCCCACCTTTCAATTACCTTAATAGGATTTCCCACCCTCTTAACAGTCACAGTGGGGATCAAGCTACTAATACATAAAATCTGGGGGGCACAGTCCATACCAAGTAGACATCCAAGAGAGAACGTATATTTATTGGCTATTAATATTTAATGTGTCTCCAGTATTTAACAAAGTAACTGGCCCTCCAAATATATTGGTTGAATGAAAAAACAAGAAACATTATTCAAGTATTAAGTAAAACAAGTATCAGACGATCCCATTTTATGTGTACACGTACACATACACACACATTTGTGTTGAGAAAAGGAAAAACAGATACCAAAATATTAACAGTGGCCATATGGGATGTGGGTTTTTGAGTGACTTTAATTTAATTTCTTTCTCTTTTCTGAGAATCTATATTGCCTAATATCTCTATAAAGTAATGTATTAAAAGGGACACAGGTTCCTGAGGGTGAGAAGGCTATGACTTTCTTCTATCGATAAATC